GTTTCGTTCAAAAGCAGCTCCGGTATTCACCACTGTTGTTTCACAATCGAAACAGAACTGGAAAATTGATACAGAAACGAGAAAACAAGAAAGAAAGATATATGTTTACCGATAATAGCTTTGTGATGTATATTGATTTCTTGTATGTAAGTTTAGTCCTTTCTTTTATGAGATGATTTGAGTTTATGCGAATTCTGAAAGTGAAGTTAAGCCTTATGTGAATTCTGAAAGTGAAGTTAATATCTTATATTGAGGAAAAAGGTGTTATATATATATATATACATACACACACACACAAAACAACAACAACATACCCAGTATAATCCCACATGTGGGGTCTGGGGAGGGTAATGTGTACGCAGACCTTACTCCTACCTGAGGAGGTAGAGATGCTGTTTCCGGTAGACCCTCGGCTCAATAAAGTGTGGAGAGGAAGAGAAGGGAGAAGAAGAAGAAGAAATAGGGGGAAGAAAGAAACAAGAAGGAAACATATATGTTTGTATATATATTGTTCTAGAGTGGTGCTGGTTTTAATGGTGCTTTAGTGGTGGTCGGTGAACAAGAAAGATGATGAAGAATGGAGGGACACATTTGGGGTGAAATATAGGCAGATAAGGGTTAACAAAGAGTTTCACTATACTTTGAGTTGGAAAAGGCGTTGGAATAACCTCTACCACTCTCAATTGTGAAGATAACACACGCATGGTGCTAGGTCAGACCCGGGTGTGCCCAAGAGACACCTCCGCCAAGTAGAGGTGTCTAAATGGTCTCTTGGAATTTTAAGGTGTCTACCTGGCAGTTGGTACCATGTTTTAGGGGCTATCTATGAGTTTCGCCCGCCCTCATTTAATTGTCGAATAAGATATTATGCGTCTTTGAGGAGTCTTTTTAAGAGTATTTAAAAAAGTTATGTTTTACTCCAGGGAGGATTGTTGAGTTGTTAGAAGCACTTGAAGCTATGGCTAAAGATAACCAGCCAATCCCACCAAGAGCAATGATCCTGAGCAGAAAATATCGTACATTAGTAAGCTCATGGATTGAACCTTTGCAGGAAGAAGCTGAACTTGGATATGAGATTGATTACATAGCCAGGTAAGCATTTTTATTCATGTGGTAGATCATATATTGTTGCATACTTAATGATTTTGACACTATTTGCTCGCTTTCCTAATTGGTATTTGGGTAAAAATGTTATGATGGAGGTATCAACTAATTATACGCCTAATTCTCTTATCTCTATCTTTGCTTGCTCAACTGGGCAGTTATTAACTTGGCAATCAGGAAAAAAAGTAGTTGTAGCACCCTGGTGTCTATGTATGTGCTCTGTTGACACCTAACACTTTAAATTCATTATTAGGCTTTTCCCACCTTTATGACTCTTAGCCTGCATTCAGCTTGCTCTGCATGTTTGGTTATTTTATCTACTGATTGAGCTAATATTGATGATGCAATATCGAAGTGCGATGCCGAGATAATTAAGCCACTCTGTTGTATGATGATTTATGCTGAAGCGAGAGTATTATCCCTTTGGAATTTGCTGGTACTAAAGATGCGCATGATGCCAATATTAACATGCGGATAAATTTGTAATAATTGAGAGAACTAAGCTCTTTTATCCATTTTAGTGCAAACTAGTCACTGGGCACGCCCGTTGCGCGTGTACCCATATTTATGTGTATAAACTTATAAAAACCTAAGTTGCTCGGTCTCAGGTGTGGGTATCCGATACGGGGAAGGATCCGAGTATCGGATTCGGCAAAATCTAAATTTTAAGATTCGGGGTGCGGATCCGTATATGGATACGGGTGCGGGAATTGGGCTAATAAAAAATAGAGCTATAAAAATATTGTAAATTTTGAGAAATATTCTGTGAAAAACTTACATGAATATTGTACAATTCAATCTTTCATTCTCCAAGATGGACATTATTATTTCATTGTTCTAAATCTGTTTTATTTTTTATTTTGAGAAATCAAAATCTCAATTTTTCTCCCAAATTTGTCGATGGACTCCGGTCAAAGTGTCCGAAGTCAGTTGAACGTATCTTGTCCCCGTATCCGTATCCATCCCGTATCCGGACGGGGACGACACCCAAATCGAAGAGTCCGCGCAACTTAGTTAAAAATTAAATAAATACTATTAAAATATTTTTGGAGTTATAAAAGAAAAATTAAAGGAAAAAATTATAGTTCTAGAAACAATATAGTTGATCCATGATCCAACATGTGTTATACATTATTTATTCTTAGTACATGGATCATCGAGTTGACGAATTTCTTTCATCTCTCATGCTATATTAATCTCCATGTATATATTGGTTTGAAAAAGTTGACAAGATTGAAGGTGTTTGTTCTTTATACATATTTGGCAAACAAAAAGATAAAAGAAAAAAATACACATACACATATAAATATAATGTATGTGTCACTTAAAAATAAATTTTTTGCCAGAGTTAAGCGAAGGAAAAAAACTTTGCAAGTTATGAATTAAATAGGGAAAATTACCGCGGAGAGAAAATCATATATTAATATATATTGGACTTATATATTTAATTAGATGTAACAAATTTACTTTCATAAGATGACATGAAAAATGATGACTGAATTGTAAAGTTCAAAGAATGGTATGTGTTTTACCTAAACTTTAAACTAATATGACAATCCAACTATACATAGATTTAACATGAGAATTAAGATGATCAATTACCTTTCTTTTCGTTGAACAAAACTATCCCAGCTTGTTGATGGAGGAAAAAGTTGGCTGACAATGGAGTATTGAGTATTGACTATCGTTTGGCAATTGATATATATCAGGAGGAATGGGTAGAAATTGACATCCCTATGAAGAAAATAGGAATCAGAAGGCAAAAAAATAAATAAATTCTGCTTTAAAAGAGTAAGCACTTCATTTTTCATATAAAAAAGATGAAAGAAGCATGCATGTGGCTCTGTGTAACTGCATAATGATGAGATTAATTGTAATAGTAGTCTTTTCACTTGCTCCTAATTTCAGATTATTTGAACTTAGACTTGTAATTTATCAAAGTGCCTTTACATGTATTTGTTAAATATTTACTTCTTTGTACAAAAATATTATACGAACAATATTTTATTAAAGGGTAAAAATGTACTTCAGCTTTTAATGGGTATTTTAGTAATTTAAGTTTGATGTTTGGTGTTCCCACTTATATTTTTTCACCCACAGACAATGCTATGAGAAACTTTTCATTAGGTAATTTCTTAGCAACAATGCTGCCAATAAAGCTCCTAGAGAGAGCCAAAAAAGAAGTGGTAGAAATTTACCTTGAGCATTTTCGCGAGCAAGTTTAATGTCAAGAAGGAATTACACAAGTTTTGTGAGAAGTGAAGGTTAGTAGAAGAGATTTTATGATATGAAGTTTGCTGCGCCCGAAAAATCCAAGAACTAACCGTTCACTATATATGCATGAAAACGCAACGGTTGGGACAATATTTTCTTTTACTAATCTGAAGCATTTGAAGATACACAACGCTTCAAGAACAATTTCCTCCTCCTTTCTATTTAAATACTATTAATTAATATATTATTAGAATAATTAATTTACATAAGTAGGGACTTTTAAAAGGGTAAAAAAGTAATTTAACTTTTAACTTTACGGGTTGATGCTTTTAATATAATATAATATAGAATAGATATAGATATAGATATAGATTAGACTCGTATAATATCCGGGTTGGTGGAATAGTCAAGGGAAGATTAATGGCCTCAAGTCTCATTCATAACTTTTTTCCTCCAGGTGCTCATAACTCTATGACATCTATTCTTTTCTGTTTTTAGTTGATAAACTTCTTCTCACAGTTCCTTATATTAAAAAAGAATGCTTCTTTTCACAGTTCCTTATATAAAAAGAAGCTTCTTTTCACAGTTTTGAGCTGTCTGCCAGAAAGTCGTCATGGTTATTGCACTGATAATAGACTGCCTTGCCCTAATTTCGTGTTTGATGATGGGCAGTTTTTTCTAATTGTTTCTTGTTTGTTTATTCATTAGTGTTTTCCTAGGTTTATTGCGGTGATGTTCTGCTTCAATTTCCAGCTTATAATTTCCACTATAAGTTGTGATTTAGTTGGCCATAGCATTCAGGTATGTTGCTGAAGGTGGACTTACAGGTGACCGCAAACGATGGGTCCCAAGAAGGGGAAAAACTCCTTTAGATCCTGATGCCGAAGGATTTATATATTCCAATCCTAGGGAAACCTCTTTTAAACAAAGATGTCTCGAAGAGTGGAGGTTGCACCACAGGAAGCTTTTGAAAACCTTACACAATGAAGGACCTTCAATTCTGGGAAAGATTTCCGAGTCTGACTACATACGTCTTGTGGAGAGACTGAGGAAAATCATCAAAGGACCTGAACAGAATGCCTTGAAACCAAAAGCTGCTAGTAAAATGATTGTATCTGAATTAAAGGAAGAACTAGAAGCACAAGGTCTGCCAACAGATGGAACCAGAAATGTGCTCTACCAACGAGTGCAGAAAGCGAGGAGAATAAATCGTTCTAGAGGCAGGCCACTTTGGGTTCCTCCAGTTGAGGAGGAAGAAGAAGAGGTAAATGTTATTCTAACGTGTGAGCTGTAACTAGTTGCATAAAGATACCTTGCAAATTCTTGTCGTTCCTCACATCAGATATCTCTAAAAGCTATATCATATTGTATTAATTTTCCAGGTTGATGAAGAGCTGGATGAGTTGATCTCACGTATAAAGTTGCACGAAGGAAATACAGAATTCTGGAAACGTCGCTTTCTTGGGGAGGGCTTAAATGAAAATCATGTCCAGCAGTCCGAAATAATAGACTTAGAACCTACTGATGTGGTAGATGATACTGATGATGCTGTCGATGATATTTCAAAAGAGGCTGAAGATGACGAGGCAGAAGACGATGAGGCACAAGATGAGGAGGAAGAAGTGGAGCAAGCTGAAAGCCAACCGGAAGTAGGTGACAGGAAGGACAAGGAAGTTGAAGCTGCAAAACCTCTTCAAATGATTGGTGTTCAATTGCTAAAAGATTCTGATCAAACAGCTAGCTCTTCAAGAAAATCCAGGAGAAGGCTTTCTCGAGTAGCTGCAGTGGTATGAATTTTATTGTGTTTATCAAATGATTTCTTATAGCATGTCCATAGAAAGAAAGGTCTTAAGGTACAAGTAAATCATTTGGTTGTGATCTGCTCTCTCCATCCCATATGGACTCAAAACTGAATATCAACCATCCTTCCTGTATCTTGCCATAATACTTTAGTAAAACATTTGGAATGAAATGGGCCTGAAGAGTGGGACTGGATTCATAGGATTTATCTAGCCGACCCAAACTAGCTTGGAATTGAGATATTGTTGGTTGATTGATTTAGTTGACATATGCTCTCTCAATCCCAGTGGACTCTTTTTCCTATTTTCATATGAATATCGATGTTGCTTCTGGTTCTTCCCTTAAATTTCAATTCAGGACAAGGAAAGTTTAAAATGTCACTGAATTTCTGATGAGACTCATGTCACTCTGAATTTGCAATCTTTTCCTTTTTTCCCTAATAGCTAAAAGGTGAGTTTGGTGCCTTCTTGTTTCTCATATATATTGTAGCTATATGCTTCATCAATAATTTGTTTTATAGCTATCACTCAAAAATAGAAAAAAAAAAATTGATGAGGAGGGAATATCATCTTGTTACTACTTCCATAGCTGTTAAGGAATTGACAAATATATCATGTTTTCCTCTTTCCTCTCCAAGTTTTAACTTTGCCTTTACTTTATGTATTTCTGCATCTTTTACCTTCATAGTTCGTACTTCAATCACATCTCCAGTTCACCATTTTACGAAACTTATACTTAATGTTTTATCTAGAACACACAGATGGAGTGCTTTAGGGGAGTATAACTTGTTTGAATCTGTTAACAGGAAGAAGTCATTGCATGTGAAGTATTAAGAAGCTTGGTTGCTTACACGATTATTTTTATGCTTCACATTTCTTATTCTATAATATTATGTACTAAATCATTAGGTTTATGAAGTGTTTTCCAGTAGTTGTAAACTTTAACATTTGTAACTGAATCGAGGAAACGACCAATCAGATCAGTATGAATTAGAACACTTAAACCTGTTGACAATTTTGTCCACTTACTTATCTTCTACCCTTTCTGTTGCATTAGTACATCTATATTAGTTTCACCGGCAAGTGTTTAGCATACATGCATAAGTGAAAATAGTCATCCAGGTCACAACCCTAGTTCTTCCTACAAATGGAGTAGGCTTTTCAAAGTAGAATTGATCCTTAAATTTACAAATTTCCACATACTTCTGGAAACTGCTTAGATTTATAAAATTGCGGTCCAAGAGCACGGATTATTGATTGATATGTCATTTCATATTTGCACAGGATGATGACGATGATGACTGGTTTCCACTGGACATTCAAGAAGCATTTGTGGAGATGAGGAAACGGAACATATTTGACGTATCAGATATGTATACAATCACTGATGCTTGGGGTTGGACATGGGAAAAAGAAATAAAAAATAAAGCTCCTCAAAGATGGTCACAGGAGTGGGAAGTTGAATTGGGGATCAAAGTGATGACAAAAGTATGTCGTGACATCCTTTTTTATCTCCTCACCATTTTCAACACCATTATCTGAATGTTACATGCAGTCTTCCCTCAATCTACAAGTTATCGGTTGCTCAATAGTATGCTTGTAGGTTGAATTTCTATGTAAGAATATGCCGTTACAGATTTTGGAGGGTCGGTGAAACTATGTATATATATATTTCTTTTTTTGTAACCGCGGTGTCCCGCCTAGCTTCCGGACACCTTGACTACTTCCACGGGATACCTGCTAGCTTTGCCTCTGCCGAGATTTGAACCTGAGACCTCATGGTTCTCACCCCACTTCATTGACTGCTAGGCCACAACCTTTGTTGCCTGTGAAACTATGTATATTGTTAGACGAGTATAGCTTAACTATGTATATGATTTTCTAGATTTCTTACTTTAACATATTAAGTCTATCTGGATTCTGGAATGAAGATTCTCAATAAATCAATAAATTTCTAATGAATGAAGCTTAGGGTTTTGATTAGTTTGTTTTCTAATGTTAGTGTTCCATTTTGATAGTGAATTATGGCATTCTAGCAGAACTGGCGCTAAGCGTTTTCTATCCTAGTAGCTAATGAATTTGGCTTCATGTATGGATGCATCTGTTTTCTACTTGTGAACTAAAAGTATTTCTATCTCAGGTAATAGAATTGGGCGGGACACCAACAATTGGGGATTGCGCTGTGATATTGCGGGCTGCAGTACGAGCTCCTATGCCTTCTGCTTTCTTGAATATTTTGCAGACAACACATAGTCTTGGTTATGTATTTGGAAGGTAAGTTTGGTTCTACACAATATAAATCCTTGTTTATGAAAGATCTTTTTCTTGCTACTTGCCACCAAACAAATAAACGATATAGCATCAGCAAAAAGAAGGTTTACACAACATTGGCTAAACAAGTAGAGTTGTCTTTAGATATTCAAGCTTAGATTGTGTTTACTCTATATTGGTTCACTTCCAGTAACTCTTTCTGTTTTGCTGTGTTTTTCCAATATTTATCTTGTAGCTATCATGGTCTTATCTAGAAGTTTAGCATATAGATTATATTGATTGTTGATATTTACCCATTCATTGCAGCCCTTTGTATGATGAAATTATCACATTATGCCTTGATCTTGGGGAGCTTGATGCTGCAATTGCCATAGTGGCAGATTTAGAGACTAGCGGAATCAAGGTCCCGGATGAAACTCTTGATAGAGTAATTTCTGCCAGGCAGAGTAGTGATACTCCTGTTAACGGTTCGCAATAGAATCTGCATAGTTCAATTTTACTTGTAGGTTAATAGGATTTAGAATAGCATAACATAAATGTTGTAGCATATAGAATCCAAAACAAACAAGCGAAGAATAGAGGTTGTAAGCAGAAAAAGATCCTTTTTGTATACTTGAGTGTTGCTTCCAACCCGTCTTTGGTGTTTTGACAACCAGCAGGTTTACCTGGAGGTGTAAAAAGTTGGAAGTTCACATCTTGGTACTTGAGTTGAAGTTGTTAATATGTACACAATTTTTCGAACGTTTTTAGCATAATTGAAAATTTCGGGTGGCTATCCAGTAGTTGGAGAGAAATTGATTTACTGGCTCATTGTAAATACTGTGTTTTATTCTTTAGTCCCATAAGATGCATGTTTTAGAAAAATGAGGTTATACAGCTTGTTTCAAAAGATGGACAAAATTTCTTTCCCCGAGACTAGCGCACGGAAGAGGGAAAGTAAAGCGTCATGCATGAAGTTGAAAGATGGATTTTTGTAAGAAATGGGGCACGAACGGTAGACATTTTCTAAATTGAGATTTCTTTCTATTTGTAAAGTAGAACTTTAGTATAAACTGAAATGAAAGGAAATTACCTTAATAAAAAGGAAAGGCTAGGTTGAGATGACTCTCTTATTGTCAACAAGTCGTTTGTGTATCTCTATATTCTCCTTTCTCAGCCTCCATTTCTTCCTGTTAATTGAAATTTTATAATATCAAAGTGAGAATTATTGAGCCTATTTATGTTAACACCTTAACGAATTCTCAAGACTAGTAGGATTTTTGAATTGCTTGGGGGAAAAAAAAATCGTTTTTTGTTCTTTTTGGATGAATTAGTGTACTTCAATCTCCAAGAGGGTGCTTTTCCAGAGAAGTATTGATTTAGTTTTTTTTTTTTGCTAAGGAAAGGAATAGTTTATATTAAGAAACTAAGAAGTCTAATTATTATTATTACATAACATAGGGGTAGATCGCATAGCGATTGTCCCCAATTTGTCCTTATTGAAAGCATGTAAAACAACGACCAGTGGAGTTTCCCAGTAGGTTATGTTGTCTTCCTCCGTCGTGTTGATTGCATGGTACGTCCATACTTTGCTAGAGTATCAGCCACAATATTGATTTAGTTCAAGTGTCTGTAGACACATGAGCTCTGGTTTTGGAAGGAGACAAGTAAAAACAATCGCAATCTTTATCATTATTCGTCACTCTAATGTTTGTTGATGTTGTTGTGATTCTTTGATTAAGGAAACTGCAACCATAGCGAATTTGGAAAGTAAATTACTATTCTCTCCGGTCCAAAATAAGTGATTTTTTGGATGTTTTCATACAGATTAAGAAATTCGTCTTTTAGCATTAATTAGCAATAGAATTGACCATATTAACCTTTACTATCTCACATAAACACTCCTAACACATATTCCAACACTATTTACTCCAAGGACAATATAGTAAAAAAATAATTAATTCATTCTTGAAATTTGAAAAAATCACTTATTTTGGACCACGAGAAAAAGGCCAAAAAATCACTTATTTTGGACCGGAGGGAGTACTACACTAATCGGAATCCTGTCTCTTTCTGTTGATCGGCTTGTCAATAATGCTGACTTTTCTCGTCAATGTTCTCCTCAGCAGGCATCTTAACAGCGTCCCCTTTGGGAAGTCCGCAACAAGCTCAGTCAAAGGGGCACAAAAGAGAATAAAAATAAAATGGCAAACATAATAGTGAGTAACAAGGCAAGTGGAAAAACGGAAAACATAAAAAGTTATTACGGCAATTATTTAAAAACGAAAAAACCCCTTTGTGGGGGTGGGGTGGGGTGTTGGGAAGGCCGAACCATAACCTTGTATCTTATTTTTGTAAGAGGACGTTTTCACTGCTCGAACCCATGACCTCCTGGTCACATGGTAACAACTTTACCAGTTACGCCAAGACTCCCCTTCATTATCTGAAAGGGAGTACAAGAAAATAGCAATATATTAACACAACCGACATATTGTTGAACAAAATCCCTGATAATAAGCTCCAAAACATCAGGGTAAAAGAGAACATTTTGGCATGGGGAGAGGATCTCCAAGAGCTTCTTCATCAATCTTTCTGGATAGTTGCATCTTGTGTAACAAGACTTTGGGATAATTTTCTCCAGCACTTGTACACTCTCAAGCGAAAAATAGATTGTATGACAAAGTTGGTAGTAATTGTTTGAAAAAGAAAGAAAGATCTCAATAATCAACTAGAATGTAAAAATGATCATTCAGATATCTTCATCACTCTCTATAAAAGAAAACGAAATGGAGAAGAAGGAATCTTCATTTGTATCCTCAAATCATCTTATCCTCAATTCAGAAACGAATCAAGTAATTTCTGCAATCAGTAAGTCAGTATTGTCGTTTAGAGTGTCTCTGCAAGATACTGAGCTAGCGTTTGCCATAGATTCCCAATTTATTTTGAAAAATCTGATTTGGATGAAGTTTGGTTTGAAGATGAAAATGTGTTTGGACATACGTTTTCAAAACATATTTTCCAAATTTATTTTGAAAAATCTGATTTGGATGAAGTTTGGTTTGAAGATGAAAATGTGTTTGGACATACGTTTTCAAAACATATTTTCCAAATTTATTTTGAAAAAACATGTATAGTATAAGCGTTTGTAAAGATTTTGGCCCAAGCTGGTTTTGGGATTTGGGATTTGGCCAAACATGTGTTTGCCAAATAAAACCCAAGTTATATTTTGGCAAAATCTATGGCCAAACGGGTCCTGAGACTCCTAGCTAAAATGGACCAAGCAAGTATAGAGTAAGTTGCAATTCAAGAAACAAAAATTCGAATTTTCGTTCGGATTTTGATTTTTCCCAAACTATGCCCACTCCTAAGATTCGCTGCAGCTGGCCGGAGGAGGAGACACCTCTAATATATACAAATGTATGTAATAAACATAGCGAGCTTGCGACTACCAAAGAGAATGATGAACTTTTGGCTGAGAAGTGTCAACTGAGAGTGGTTGGTAAATTCTCTAAGAACTTGACCAATGGTGATGAAAAGAAGATTGTTGAAGTGACTCAACAGAATAGGGAAACTCAAGCTGGGTTCAAGCACACCAGACTGGACAAAGTGAACAAGCCAAGCAAAGGAAGAAAACTGGGGAAAGCAAAAATAGCTTGAAGAAGCCTAAGCCCAAATCTACAGTTCCTGAACATCCGGACAATCGTGTTAATTCAACTGGAAAAAAGCTACTGTATACGCAAATGAAGGAACTTTACTACTGAAAGGAAGAAATTCAAAACTACAATTTTTCGCAAAATGTGGCAGAAAAATTGAAGCCAGGATCCAAGGAACAATGGTATTTCTTGGGCAAAGGATTGGCCAATCTGGTAAATAAATGCAGAAAGAGCCACCTGATTGTGCACTAAAAATTGAAACTTTGCTTATCAGAGAACACATAAAAGCAGATAATTAACGGGCTTCGAGGAGAAACTCCATTGTTGTTGCTAATGGAATGAACCAAGCAGCTGCCTGGAATGGGTATACCTATTGAGAATCTGGATGCAGAGATGGAATTGCATCAAGAGGAGGAAGAAAATTCCAAGTCTGATGATGATAATGCAAAAAGGACCAATAAATCCCTGATTGTTGACATTATGAAATTGACAACAAGTCAGGTTTCGGGACAGCATCACAACGAACAACAATCTACCAACCAGAGAGGTGCACAATTCCAGTGGGGAAAGGTTGGTTAGCCTTCTCTGAAGGTTACTAGGAGCATCAAAAAGAATTCAAAAGACTCCACTCCTAATGTTTTTCACTGCTATCATGGAATATTAGGGGGATGAAATCCCTAGGAGCCTTTGAAAGGCTAAAGTCACTCAAACAACCAACATAAATTGCCTCTTTTTCTGGTAAAAGTAAGCAAAAATTATTTCAACCAAAGTGTTTCAATACACATAGCTAACTCTTAGTCAAGAGTTAGTTCTCAAAAACAAAACAAACTGTAGCTACAGGTAAACAAATTTTGGCTTCTAGGAAGGATATGTATAGGGGTGGCAAAATGGTTCAAAGAAAATAGTTAACCACCCATATTATCCACTAAAAGATGGGTTGAATAATGAACTTTTTAAAAACGGGTCAAATATGGATAAGAACCATATTACCGATGAGTAACCAATGGATAACCAATGGGTCTAACTTTTACATTTGCAAAGCCTCAAATTGGGGGTTCCTCAAGTTAGGAAGACTAAGAATTCTCCCAAAAGTGATCATATACAAGAAGCCATGGATAATATGGGTAACCCATATTATCCGCCGGTTAACCCGTTTTTTATCCGTATTAAATATGGGTCGGGTCGGATAACCGATCCGTTTTTTTATTACCCGTTTTGACCCGAACCATATCCGACCTGACCCGTCCGTTTGCCATTCCTAGATATGTACTAGGACCTCTTCATATAGACAATTTAAAGTATCTAGCTGCCTCCTCCATTTACAGTCCAACATATGAAATTGAATAGTAATCTCTTTAATCCTCTGCCTTGCTGCCCCTGGAACAGCAGTTGCGTGCAACAAATTGCCTTATGTATATACAAAAAGGAGAAAGCTTAGCACCAAGCTGGTGCTGTACCAAAAACAAAAAAGAAGGATGGTTCCGGCAAAGATCCTACACTTGCAAGGATTTTATGAAGTCTAACATACTATCTTCATCATTTACGTCCTGTAGATTGCACCAAAAAGGCGGAGGCCATAGACATTTGTTTTAAGCTGCTGTACACTAACTATACTATACTACTTACAAGTATAGAAGGGGTCAATGAATATAGACAATTGAAGCATTTGGAGAGGACCTTGGAAAGCTTTCAAAATAAGCCTGAATCATATCAATCTCTTCAATTTTGGCAGCAAAAGTTAACTTCTCCAGCACTTCCGCATTCTTGAGCAAATACTTAACCAATGGCAGCACAAATTCATTTTCACTTAGCAGTCCATGAAAGTGAATGATTATGGTCTTTAGCGAGCAATTAAAAACACTTGTCTCAAAACTTCTTCTCATCATCATTATCATCCGTTATGAACTCTAAGTATAGAAACTGCAAGAAAATAATAGCTTAAGACAATTTTTTTGATAAAGAAAATAATAGCTTAAGACAATTATTCTCATTAGATGGAAACAACAAAAATCAAAGCTTCATTGCAGCAAATCAAAAGGAGTTCACTGAGAAAACTAGCTTAATCATAGAATCAGTTTGATAATAACAACATGAAAATTTATGTCAAAGCAACTAAACATGCTGAGGCCGTACAACATATCAATAAGAATCCCTGTTAACAG